GAACCAGCAGGTAGCATAATGGCTATGTCACTGGACTCCCATGTAGTCGACCGCGGTTTGAGTCCCAGATCTGGTGGCTTAAACTCACATTGGGCACATGTGCGTGCATGCTCAAGATCCCGAGAGGAGAATGGAGAGGACCATGCCCTCTGGGGGGTGACTTCTTGCTTTCTGTCTTTCTGTCTCTCTCTGTCTTTCTGGCGAGCGCATGTGCCCTATAACAAAAATCTCTCCAAAAAAAGAAAGAAGAAAATCAAATGATAATGGGGGTTAGAAACATTCAACAATTATTGCTTAGTTCCACTAGTTTCATCTGGGTTATAAGCTAATATTCAAACAGAGAAGAGTGTTGATGCTTCACACTTTGACAGTGGCTTTGGATCTCTCAGTCATTCTAAGTTTGAGTATTACTGAATGAAGTAAGGACACAGTATAGTATGTTTATTCAGTCTTCAATTTTGTATAAAACTAAATTTTGCTGTGAAATAGAGAAGTATAGTATAATCAACTTAATAAAAATTAATGATTAATCATATATATTAAATATTTATTCCAATTATTTAGTGAAAAGACAAAATATTAAATCATTATACCTCTAAAATTATCAGCTTGGTCTGACAAAATCAAAATTAATTAACAATGTGACTTTTACCCCTCTGGCTTTTCCTTTTCTTCCTTTTCTTGGAGCATAAAAATATGTCCAACTTACACTAATGGCATCATGCATTTATGACAGATAATACTTTATCTTGTGTTTGATTCAAAACTAGACATGTTTAGTGGGAAGAATATTCCACAATACCTCATTTTCAGTATTTTGTTTTATTCAGAAGGACTTTATATACTTTAGACCCAAAGACCCTTGTATTACTATGGACAAGTTAGTGAAATTTAGTAGGGCCTTAGTGTACACCTTTGTAACATTATTCTTATAAAGTCTAATTAAAAGGTAAAACTAAGTGAAATGAAGTAGGTAATGCATAGTTATTAATTCCCTTTTCATATTTAGTTCCTGAATTAATTCCCATCAATATTAAAGTATGAATGAGTTAATGCTTTACCTTCTAGATCAAGTCAAGATAAAGCAAATAGGTAAGAAAGCACTCTATTGCTTTGAATATCTCTATGATGTATCCTCCTTTGAGGCTCAGCTGAAATCCCATACCAGCTAAACAGAATCTCTCATCTCTTTTATTGGGTCCTCAGAAAAGTCATGATGTATTTTTCTGTTTTACTGTGCAAAAATGTGACATGACTTTTCCTACAACCCAAGAAAATCCTTAATGTTATTGTATGACATACTCATTTTATGACTGTCCTCAGCTCTCATCTTTTAACTGATTTTCATGTGAAATTATTTTATTGCTGAAGATAGACCATAAAGTCCTTGAAATTAGGAATTGTTTATTTCCTTTCCCCTCTCCCTTCTGCCTTCCTCTCCTTCCTTCCCCCTTCCTTTCTTTTTTGGTATCATGAACATTGCTTCATATAGTATCTATCCAAAATGCAAGTTGGGGATGAGCAATAAATCTTTTTGAGGAACTGAATATTTCTGTCACTAGTTTTACGGTCTCACTTTTTCTTTCATGTATATATTAAATTCTAAATACTTCAAGGATAAATATATGCATTTTAATATCCCCAGTATGATCAAATTCAGCAAATCACAAGATACAATCTTCTAATTATTACCATTTTCAATCCTCATACCACTGCAAAAGCAATAAAATATACAAGAAAGTCCATAATGCTCAATAAAAAAACCTAATTAAAATATCCATTTAGAGTTTTGTATTTAAAAACAACAACATATGCTATGTAAGATTTTGGAAAATTTTTTAAAAGTTCGGTATCTGTTATTTTATTGAATTTAAGTTGAAATAATCACTTTTGTTTCATTTCAGGCATTAATCCATCCTAAATGAAAGTCTTTGGCACGAAAAAACTTATACCAAGAAGGTTATAGCTATAAGCTGGGAAGAATAAATATATAAGGATGTCATTTACTAAAAGGTAAGAGGCTCAAGTATTTTCTCTAACTTGAATTTTATATAGCTCTGGTCAATTTTCACAGACTTAACCAGTATTGAACAGGGAAATTGGAAAACCGCAGAACTGATTTTCAAAAGTGAAGTTCTATTTTCTTTTACATCTTCTTCATCAGAGCTGCTATCATTCTTGTGTTATGTGGTATTATTATTGACAGCAGCCTGGGAACAGCTGATAATTGCTAAAAGTCTCTCAAAGTGGAAGCAGAAAAAGAAAAAAAAAAAGACAACTGGGTCATTTTCTCATTTTTCAAACTTGCTGATTTTATAATCCTTCATCTTCTATAATTTAAATGTAAAGACTTTTTTCTCCTCTCAAGCAACCATGATTATACCAATCCTCTTTGCTTTGGGTTCCTGGGTAATAAATATTAAAATAATAAAGATCTAAATGCATAATTGGAACTATACATAGGTCCTTCGAGTATTCTGATGTGCTTTTACAGTTTTCACTCTTAGTACATTTTACTTAAATTGTAAATATGTGATAGAATTACTTCAGAGTCCAACATAGTAATTAATACATTAAGAAGAAAACTGGTTTACTTTTACTGCTGCCTTTCCAGATTGGTAGAAAGTTTAGCAGGTTCTTATTAAATTTCAAATTAGAGTTATTTGAAAGCAAAGCTGTAGCCTCTGGCCATTTAGTATCAGCTCTGAAACAGAATCTCCTTTGTATTCTTAAAGATCATTGAGAATGAGTAATTGTTGGACTATTGGCTCGATTTTGAGATCCACCTACTTATTCTATATTTTTTTAATGATGAAATCTTTACTATGTAATCCCATCTGTGCAGTAGAATGGAGTTTATTTAGTGTGCCATATAAATAGCAACCTTGTAGTATAAATCTTCATTTTTTTCCTCCTATTTACCTTCAGATTGGTGCTTGTAGTTTGTATTCTGCTCCACTCTCAAATTTAGAGATCTATGTGGGTCAAAGAATCAGAAAACTTTCTTTTAATGAATCTAACAATATTGCCAAGTTTATTGGTTAATTAGTTGAGAATTAAATAAAAGAGAAAATTGGCCAAATTAAGGCTTAAGTGGACAGGTGGCTACAAAAGAAAAACAAATACTTACTAGTGTGTTAATTTCCCTATTTTAAAGTTCTGAAAATGTTACCAGATAAAATTCAGAATATCAATTAAATTTGAATTTCAGATAGAAACAACAAATTATATTTTAGTTGAAGTATGTTCCAAATAACACATGCCTTATATGTTTATTTGTTAAATCTGACAGCCCTAAAGATTAATGTAATTTTTTAATAACATCAGTATTGTGAGTGAAAATCCCACTATTTCAATAAATTAATATAATAAAAGATGGATATTTGAAGCCATGAGGAAAAAAATAAATAAATTTCATCTATGCAGGACTGTGCAGAGTTTTTATAAAAAGAAATAAGTGTGTATGGGTGCCATGAACCCAAGTCCTGAGGAAACAACACTTCTCTTTATTTGCATGGAATCATAGTATTTTGAGCTCTAAATTTCTCAATAGACCTAAGGAATAGAATAGGACTGGTTTTCAACATTCTTTTTCTCACCACAACTTATATGCCAAGATTGTTTATTAAGAAATTTAACTGTTAAATTGTTTCAGTATTAAGAAACTTATGCACTTGGACTACCTGTATCTCTACTAAAAATCCCTTCCTGTTTACTGATAACAGGGGCACTTGAATTTCTAAGGTCCAGCAATAGCCTTCCCAAATGTTAGTTCACTTGTACATTACATATATATTTTAAATTAAGTATCTATAATGTACCAGTTATCCTGTAGATGCTAGAAACACATGACAAGTAAATCAAAACAAATTAATAAAATTTCTGCTCATGACTTGCAGCCATGAAGTAGGTAGAATACGGATTATTCACAAGCTAAGTGCTTTAGGGTTAAAAGGTCTTGTCTAAGGTCCCACAGATAGTAAATAAAAAGCCGGGGCTTCAGTAATCACCCCTGGCTACAGATTCAGGGCACTCTCCAATATTGCTTTAAAGGAAATCCCACACTACTTAGTATCTTAACTCCTCCATGTCCCAGGGGCAAAAACCGAAAGCATCTTGAATCGCTCTAAAAGTTCGCATGCTCTTCCCAGTGGAACAGGTGTTCTCTGGGTGTGCTGGCAAAGGCAGGCATGAGTGGGAGTTAAAGATCCTGAGCAGCCGTCGTAACCAGACAGAGTTCATCTGTGGAAACCCGGAGCACCAGGCCAAGGCGATGCGAGTCAATTGGGTGTCACAGGTGACTCATCAGACACAGCTTGCTTTGGGGCCTTCTGATATTTTTCTTCAGGGTGGGGTGTCAGATTTCCTTTGCATTTTTGGACAGCAGCCCTCCTGTCCATTTACACATTTTTCTGGTTTCACAGCCCTCATGCAGAGCCCGCTTTCATACCGGAAGGTAGTCATTGGCAGGAAGTTAGGAAATGAAGAAAAAGGTTTTTTTCAAAAAATGAACCGCGGGCCAAGAGAGAGGCCTAAAATGGGGAAATTCGCACTTGAGCTTTCCCT